CCACATGGCATTACAGCCAGGCTCAAGCAAACGCTCAAAAATATTTTGAATTCTAATTGAACCCAGGTCAGTCTGTATGAGCAGTGCAGGTCACTGTAAATCACATTTAAGACCCTCAGCTTATAAAATTAGACCGTATTAAAACCAGAGGTCCCGTTCTTTTTATGGACCGTTACTTTACAAGCATGCCAGATGATTTTTCCCTTCTTCTGATGTGTCAATTAAGATACAGATGGAGAAGATGATGCCCATGCGAAGGAATTTCACCAGTTTTGGGTTCATATTTTATTTTGGGTGCAATGCCATTGGGGCATTGGCATTTTCAGTTCATTGCATGAAAACATCTCACATATTTGTGAATGATGTCATTACAGTGAATTTGTCCTTTCTGTTTGAAGGAGAGAGTTGTAGCCTACCCATCAGGGGCCTTACAGTATATTATAGCTTCAGATGCCTGTTTGTTGTATTATTTCTGGGTGATTAGGTTTTTTGAGAGGACTTATGTCTGCCTCTATAAAGTTCTAGCCACGCAGTTGCCATGACTTTGTTTTGTTTGTGTAATGTCATTTCTATACATTGCTTCTATGGTGATTTCATACTACATCTAGGTTTTGCTGTTTCTTTGTTGTGGTTTTTCACACTGTTTCCATGTTGTTTCCAAGTTCTAGCCATACAGCTTCCATACCCCAGGGTTTTTTTTCTATGTTATTTCCAGTCCAACAACATCACCTACCTACGGTAAATCAGTACAGTACCTGTCTATTCTATTCCCCGTCTCCCATCCCTGGCTGTCACTCTAATTAGTTCACATATGCTCCTGACAGGGAGACAAGACAGCCTGTCTGACAGGAAATGCACCTGGGCATAGACACAGTAAATCACCTTTTGACTCCCGCTATTTCTGTCACAGGATGCCTTGACTGGAACTTTCTCACATCTTCCAGAGGTAAACAGACAAAAAAAATGGTGAAGAAAGGGAACAAATAAGAAATAAGAAAAAAAAGACAATTTCCTCTCTGATTCATCATTATAGGAACCCTGCCAACATGTTTTATCAGTAAATTACACTTCATCTAGCACCGAGGGTCAAACACATATTATAATTTTTTTCATTAAACCCTAGCTTTCTCAAAACTATTTTTCTCAAGGCCCAGGCTGAAAATTTGAAAAATAGCTTTTTTCCATTATTGCTATTGTATTTCTACACTTTCATATGACTAATGCAAAATATCCACTATAAAGTCATACAAACAAATAAAAAGGCTGCATCACAAAGGGCACCATATTCCCGATATAGTGCCCTAATCTTGAACAGAGAAATGCAGCTACTATAACTACAGTGCCCAGCAAAAGTATTCATCCCCCTTGGCGTTTTTCCTATTTTGTTGCATTACAACCTGTAATTTAAATGGATTTTTATTTGGATTTCATGTAATGGACATACACAAAATAGTCCAAATTGGTGAAGTGAAATTAAAAACTTACTTGTTTTTAAAAACGCAAAAAAATAAATAATGGAAAAGTGGTGCGTGCATATGTATTCACACCCTATGCTATGAAGCCCCTAAATAAGATCTGGTGCAACCAATTACCTTCAGAAGTCACATAATTAGTTAAATAAAGTCCACCTGTGTGCAATCTAAGTGTCACATGATCTGTCACATGATCTCAGTATATATACACCTGTTCTGAAAGGCCCCAGTGTCTGCAACACCACTAAGCAAGGGGCACCACCAAGCAAGCGGCACCATGGAGACCAAGGAGCTTTCCAAACAGGTCAGGGACAAAGTTGTGGAAAAGAACAGATCAGGGTTGGGTTATAAAAAAAATCCTAAACTTTGAACATCCCACGGAGCACCATTAAATCCATTATTAAAAAATGGAAAGAATATGGCACCACAACAAACCTGCCAAGAGAGGGCCGCCCACCAAAACTCACGGACCAGGCAAAGAGGGCATTAATCAAAGAGGCAACAAAGAGACCAAAGATAACCCTGAAGGAGCTGCAACGCTCCACGGCGGAGATTGGAGTATCTGTCCATAGGACCGAATAGTTATGCACACAAGTTTTCTGTTTTTTTGTCTTATTTCTTGTTTGTTTCACCCCAAAAAATATTTTGCATCTTCAAAGTGGTAGGCATGTTGTGTAAATCAAATGATACAAACCCCCCCAAAATCCATTTTAATTCCAGGTTGTAAGGCAACAAAATAGAAAAAATGCCAAGGGGGGTGAATACTTTCGCAAAGCCACTGTATCGATGTTGTCGTTCCTCTCTGACGGGTTTGATAGAATGACAGATGAGTGTGTTTGTTTGTTCAATTACATGAAGGTCATGTTCACGGCTCAGGAACAGGGAACAGGAGACTCAGACCACTTTCCCCCATGGACGCTGTCTCAGATTGGGCTTGACCACCTGAACTCACGGCCCTGTGCTTGATTTAAGACCCCTCTCACTAGAACAGCTGCTGAGACACGTGAACCATAATTTGTGTCTTTGCTTATGGGGGCTGCCTCTCTCACTGTACACTCCACTCATCTGGCCTGCAGAGAGAGAGAGAGAGAATGACAAATAGCCCAAAAGATGAGGCTGTTTTTGAGCATCTACAGCTCAATAAAGAATCCAGTTTTTTTTTTAAGTCTGAGGTAATTCTGTGACCACCACCAGACCAAGCGTATTGTTATTGAACTATGTAACTTGACCTGATCCTTGTGGTTGGGGTTTACTATCGCCTCATTTACATGCAATGTCTGAGTTATCGTGGATATAGTGTTTCTTTTCATCAACCAGTATGGTAAAGAGACTGATGGATCATGCCAGCATGGTGTAGTGTGAACTTGCCCCTGGACGCTGATCTTGGGTCATTTTTGCGTTTTCCCCAGTAATGATTAAGGTCATGGTTGGGGAGGGGAATCTGATCCTAGAGCTTTTCTGTACCTAGGAGAAACTTCACCCTTGAGCTGCCAGCATCATGTTTAGTATCTCACAGAGAACAGTGTCAGTGGTGATGCCATTTCCTGTGTCACTGGGTGGCACAGGACGCTCCCTCCCTCCCAGGAACTAGATCTACTGCTATGGAAACGCACCCGGCAAAGCAGCTTAGCCAGTCTGTGAAATGTATGGAGCATTGATATGCGTACAGGCAATCAGGCAGACTATGCAGATATCTAAGCTGTTCCACATCCTGCTCCCCTCTCAAAGCATGCTAATCTCCCTGATTTACTAACTACCTATCATCTTCTTGCGTCTTCTCCAGCTGAAATATGAGGAAGAGCATGATTGACTGTTACTACACTGCAACTTCCTGGCTTACTAATCCTCTTCATTCCTAATGGAAGGCTTTCGTGAGAGAGAGCCACTGTAGCCTTTCTCCTGCCTTCTGGAGATTGTGTTCCATGACAGACTCATCTTCATCTCTGCACTGAAACACAGTGAGAATATTAGGGATCTCAAAGGCATCACAAGGGGTGGATATGCAGGAAAACGGTTGTCAATGGCCTATGCTCCAGGAGGAGTAAAAGGCCTAAATGAAGTGAGTGAAAGGCATCCCAAAATATGTCTTCATATGACAAAACTCCAGCAAGAATGCATCCCAAATGGCACCCTATTCCCTATACAGTCCACTAGTCTTCCTGATATAGTGGATCCCTGTGGGCTCTGGTCAGAAGTAGTGCACTAAATAGGGAACAGGGTGCCATTTGGGATAAGTTGATGTCTTCATATTATCAAAAATCCACCTTGTTAACTTCTTTTGATTTCTGACAACATCCCCTCGTCCACTACTGGCCTACATGTAAATATGCTGCTGCCTCAAAGACAAGTAGCCTTGAGATATTAGTCCAAGGTTTAGTGGGGCAATAGGACAGCTATGTCGGAGGCCCATATGGCACCCTATTTTTTATTTAGTGCACAACTTTTCACCAGGACTTTATAGGGAATAGTATGTCATTTGGGATGTAGCTTTTGTATGGCTAAAATATGAGAAGGTGACCCTAGATGACCCCAGAGAAGACTGTAATAGCAGTTCAGGGGCAGGCTAGATGAAGCCATGTCTGAAGCACTGAGCACAACTGAAAGTTTCTCAGTAGACTGTTGTATGGGGGGAAGGGAGGGGGAGGGTTGAGTAATGGTTTCTGACTGGTGCAGAAATGTTCTGAAATATTTCTAGATATCTCCAGCAAGCAATCAGATACTATTGCATGTTATATAAAGATGTAGGCCTATGATGGAATACAACTGTTGAGGAGGTCAGACATCCGTTTTCACCCAAGCTCAAGTGATGTGGCTTTTAGAAGCCAATTTCCTCTGTGTGTGGGTGACTGGTGTAGAGAAAAATAGTGAGTTTTTGCAGACCAAACATGCTAAAATCCTATTTTTTCACCAACAACCTTGAGTGCGCGCTGGGTGTGACCAATGTACGTGCTAGATTGTTTTGTTACATGACAAATCTCTGTCCTACATTATTATCAGCAACTCGAACTTTACCTTCACAGAAGAGCGCTCCGTCATTTGCATGTCGAGATTCCGGAGGTGGGTGTGATCTCATGTATGTGTATGGGACCGGAGGGGGCGGGGCAAATAGGTGCAAATTGACCGTCAGGCGCCGGGGTTTGAGTGAGGCCTTTCGGGAGGGTCGCCACAATGTTGGATGCTTTTTTCCAGAGTATCGCCTCTTCTGGAATACAGAGTTTGATGACTTGGAACAGAAGAGAGGAGAAGTCGTTTGAGTATTTATTGCGAGCTGACTGTTTACTTTAGCCTAGAAGAAGCATTCTGCTTGCGAGCTTGTATTGTTAGCAAACGCTGGTCACTTTGGTAGTTTATTTTGTCCGGGAAAGCAAAATGAATTTCAGTCAACTTTTCAGGTTAGTGTATAGATTGATTGATTTATTGGTTAGGTAAAATATGTTGTCATATTTTTTTTAAGATAAAAAAATGCATATAGCCTAGATTTATTTTAACATGAAATAAATATTTCCCCCCCCCCTCATGTATTTTAGGGTTTTGCTGTCGGCAGCTGTTGCCTGCGAGGCCGTTACAATTGGATCAGGTATGTCAATATTTTGATAATAATTTGCATCTGGCCCTTGCCTCGGCCCTAGTTTACTAATCTGAAACTGTTTACACTTTATACCTAAATATTAGCCGTCATTTATTTATAAAATGTTTTCTCATATCCAAGGCTGTGAAGGATCTGAATGCACCAAAACCATAGAGGTATTGACCAAAACGGTCGACTATGGAAAGCCGACCCAGCACGCTGATTACCTGAACCAGTTCAATGAGATGAACTCTCTTACTGGGGACCGAAAACATCGCGATGCGGCCTCTGTCCTACCGTTCATCGGCCTCACTGGAAGTAAGTTGGGCATTGATCGCGTAAAATTTACTGAACTCAACCTCCCACGGCCTCCATAAACTCACAGCAATGAGTTTGAGCTTGACCTTGGCCGAATTAATTCGGCCTGTCATGCTTTGTAGCGATTTTTTTCTATTTGTCACACATTCGTCTTCCTGCATCGATGTTTGTATATTTGTCTTAATTCACACAAACAACGTAGGCCAAGCCTGTTTTTATTGCGCTGTGATTGAAAACATGGCTCTGTAGGAATGTTTTAAAACAGCTTCCAGACCTCTGGACAGTGTCTTGGTCTCCAGGCCATGGCTACTTTAGTAGGCAAACATTATGGAACGTTGCAGATAACAATTTAATTAATAGAACCGGCATGGTTACTTATTTTACATGTCAGAGGCATGTTTATTCTCAATACTATAGTTATATCTGATTGTTGCATAATGTTGTGCCCAGCTGCTGAACACACCCTGGGGCTAAAGCCTGAGTGTAAATATAACAACACTCACACCATCCATATTAAACGTCTACCCTATGTCGTTCTCTCCTTTTAAAGGTGCAAAGCAGAGTCGAAACTGCTGTAAAAATGGTGGTACCTGCATCTTGGGAAGCTTTTGTGCATGCCCACCACATTTTACTGGCCGGAGCTGTGAATACGACGAACGAGTCAGGTAATTTACCAGTATTTCTAGGCCTGTTTGACTATGTTTGAAGTCTGAAAGTAATGTATCTAGCCTGTATTGACATGTATCTCTCCCTGCTCTGTCCCTTTGCTTACAGGAGCTGTGGTACCATTCCCCATGGAGTGTGGGTTCAGAAAGGCTGCTCATACTGCAGGTGTGGATATGGGGTCATGCACTGTTTTCCTCAGGTGTTCCACGAGGACTGTGGTAAGAATGCACTTTATGACACTTTGATGGATGTTTAGATTTCTCTCTCTCAAATGTTTCTCAAGTGTCTGAATCCTTTATTTAGACTTGGATAAGAGAGGAAGATGTTAGGTATTAGCTAACCAGTTTAACCTCCAGCTTAGGCCTACTTACTTAGGCCTACTTACATATCAGACCAGACTTTGTTTGGGTTGATAAAATAGGAGTGGTCTACCGGGTATCATTTCCAAGGCCTTTGAAAGTAACACAGGGACAGGTATTATCATAGGTGGCACCAGTTTGGCCGTGAATGGGTGATGAGAACCCATTTGCACCTCACTGGGAAACAGAATGGGTTTCTGTAGATCATCACAGGCAGCAGCTCTGCCCTGAAAACCTACAAAAGATTATTCAGAGGCCTCAAGAGAGGCTGGGTTTTCAGGTCTGAGGATGTGCTAACGGCCCCATTTCCCCGATTCACATTCCTCCATTTCAGTCAGTCCACTTTATTCATGCTACAGTTCCAATTTAGTTTTTCTCATCTCTTGCCATTTCAGACGTCTTTTATTCATGATATTTGTTGTTTTTCTTCCTCTCCTTTTTCTTTCAGATGAGGACCAGGAAGTCCGCTGGTTTCATTCGCCGGGTGTCCGAATGAAGCAGACCAAGTACTTCCTGTGTCTAGGACTACTGTTTTTGGTTTTGGTCGTTCGAGAAGCTACTGGTGAATGAGACACGATAGATTTCAGCCTCAAAGGCTTCGTGAAATGACTCCTGGTTTTTGGGCGGCGTACTGAAATGAAATTTCCTTCCAGTGGAAGTCGGAACTACAACGTGCTGTGTTAAAAGCAACTGTCTTGTAAATGTGAAGGATGCTGTACATAAGATTTTAATGGAAAATATTTGGTATTGGTGCTTTTTATTCGCAATCTTTCTAGATTGATGAATACATGTTTTGAAGTCCTATGTTGTACTCTGTTGTTTTACAAACGGTGTGTGATGACGTATGTTTGTCTCTGGTTGGTAGTTCACGTGACCAATATTATTACATTAACAGTTTTTAAGGGTACTCTCAACAGAAACAAAGTGTCACTTTTGAACCAAGTTCTGTTTGAGTGATGTTATTGGTTGTATTTGCAGTTGGAACATCTGTTTGCTGTTCCTATCTACACGGACAGAGTTTGATAAAGCTGGAACGACCTGTGATTGTTGACCTTTTTTGCCTGTTTTCCCTTATCTAAGATAAACAATTAGACCCCTCCATCGATCACCAGCGTTGACGTTCCAAGTTGTTGTGTTAATAGTCGTTGCTCGGTCAAAGCTTTTTCAATTGGCTGTGATGGGAATTAAATGGGTTCATGTCATTAAAAATCTCATAATGTTATATTGACTATTTTACTTGTGCATCCATATTATTAATCTGGTATGGCTGATAAGGTTGCCAGTAGCACATGTAGTTGGATATTGACCTATCTAGGTGTAATTAACGGCCATAATTATTTGTAATGGGTGCAACGCAACATATCCTTTTAAATTATTCTATATGTTAGGATATGTGCAACCCCATCAAAAAATATTTCTGGTCCAATGCAGCTGTTTTTATTTCAATATCAAATCATTTCTGGGAAACAATTGGGTGCCTTACTGTGATTGTTTTAAATTAAAATGGTCAAAAGTAAACACAAATTGCATCTTGGAAATTAAGCAATTTTTCATGCAATATTTTTGCCAGGAGTTGGGAGGGGAAAACTGAAAATTAGCTGTTATTGGCAGAGAGGTTTGTAACTCTCTTATTGGTCTAACACATTTACCGCCTTAGTTCAACTGTCGTACCCCAAAATATAAGCTGCTTTTACTCCAATGTTTGTAAACGATGTAACAGTAATCAAACACTATATCCTCAAAACATGGTTAAAACTATGATTTTGATATCGTGGATGGTCAGTCCTTGCATCCATAGCTCTGTCTATGAATTTGAGTGGTTACATTTCTCTAGCCCCATTCTTCCTTTTACCGAAACAGTGGCGGGCAGAAGTTTTATTATTCTTTCAACTGCGGATAGCCCCTTTAATGTGAATCATGACGCCAGATATGAAAATGTAAAATATGTTTAAAGCATTCAATCTCAATTTTTAGGAGTGGCAATTACCACACGTTTGAACAAACTAACTTCCTATTGACGCCAGATATCTAGTCCCGTGTAGCTCAGTTGGTAGAACCCAGGGTTGTGGGTTCGATTCCCACGGGGGGCCAGTATGAAAATGTATGCACTCACTAACTGTAAGTCGCTCTGGATAAGAGCGTCTGCTAAATTACTAAAAATGTAATTGGTTTTGCAAATTAAATTTGGCCCGTTGTCTCTGTCAGCCAGGTCTAGAACACAATGACCACTCACAGCTCTGTTTTGCTGTTTTATTTATCTCTTCCCTAGCTTCTGCAAAACAGAACACAGATTCAATTTGGCAGTGAGTTGTGATGCACAGAGAAAGAATAAAGTAGACTTTCATGTTAATCAAACTTTAATTGTCTCTGTACTGCTCTCCCCATGTCAGGACTGAAGGTCCTCTTCCTGCTTCTCCACTCCACTGTGACAGGCTGAACAAATAGAGGTGTCAGCCGTTCAACACTCTTTAGAAATAGAAAGGGACATAGAGCTCTTTTCTCTGGGGGGATGGGGTGTAGCTGGCAGTAGTGGGCATTCCCTGGCTCTTCCTCTGTCTACCAGGTCAACTGGATGTTGGTTCAATCAGCCTCATCCAGACAAACCCAAAACCACTGATGGCTCTCCCTGTGTAGTGTGTACCAGGTCTGAGTATACAGACAGACGGACAGACAAGAAGGACAGATAGACAGACAGACCCAAAATTAGGTTTGAGTATACAATTGAAAGTTGGCTCAGATCAGACTAACCCAAAACCAGATGATGATCATAAGAGAGCCTTCCAATCACCATCAAAACCCAAATGGCAGTGAAATGAAAGTGTATTGCTTTTCCCAGACAACAAGTAACTATGTAACTTTTCTGTGTTAAAACAGCATTTGGATTTTTCTTATACGTTTAGTTCGTAATTCATTG